GGGTGACACGAGGGAGACGCGGGGGAGACGCGGGGTGATGCGAGGGAGACGCGGGGTGACACGGGGGAGACGCGGGGGTGACGCGAGGGAGACGCGAGGGAGACGCGGGGAGACGCGGGGGAGACACGAGGGAGACATGGGGTGACGCGAGGGAGACACGAGGGTGACGCGAGGGAGATGCGGGGTGACGCGAGGGAGACACGAGGGAGACGCGGGGTGACGCGAGGGAGATGCGGGGTGACGCGAGGGAGACGCGGGGTGACGCGAGGGAGACGCGGGGGAGACATGGGGGAGACGCGGGGTGACGCGAGGGAGACGCGGGGTGACGCGAGGGAGACGCGGGGTGACGCGGGGGAGACGCGGGGTGATGCGAGGGAGACGCGGGGTGACGCGAGGGAGACACGAGGGAGACGCGGGGTGACGCGAGGGAGACGCGGGGTGACGCGGGGGAGACGCGGGGTGATGCGAGGGAGACGCGGGGTGACGCGAGGGAGACACGAGGGAGACGCGGGGTGACGCGAGGGAGATGCGGGGTGACGCGAGGGAGACGCGGGGTGACGCGAGGGAGACGCGGGGGAGACATGGGGGAGACGCGGGGTTGACGCGAGGGAGACGCGGGGTGACGCGAGGGAGACGCGGGGTGACGCGAGGGAGACGCGGGGTGACGCGAGGGAGACGCGGGGTGACGCGAGGGAGACGCGGGGTGATGCGAGGGAGACGCGGGGTGACACGAGGGAGACACGGGGGAGACGCGGGGTGACGCGAGGGAGACGCGAGGGAGATGCGGGGTGACGCGGGGTAGACGCGGGGGAGACACGAGGGAGACACGGGGTGACGCGAGGGAGACACGAGGGAGACGCGGGGTGACGCGAGGGAGGCGCAAGGGAGACACGGGGTGACGCGAGGGAGACACGAGGGAGACGCGGGGTGACGCGAGGGAGACGCGGGGTGACGCGAGGGAGACGCGGGGGAGACATGGGGGAGACGCGGGGTGACGCGAGGGAGACGCGGGGTGACGCGAGGGAGACGCGGGGGTGACGCGAGGGAGACGCGGGGTGATGCGAGGGAGACGCGGGGTGACACGAGGGAGACACGGGGGAGACGCGGGGTGACGCGAGGGAGACGCGAGGGAGATGCGGGGTGACGCGGGGTAGACGCGGGGGAGACACGAGGGAGACACGGGGTGACGCGAGGGAGACACGAGGGAGACGCGGGGTGATGCGAGGGAGGCGCAAGGGAGACACGGGGTGACGCGAGGGAGACACGAGGGAGACGCGGGGTGACGCGAGGGAGACGCGGGGTGACGCGAGGGAGATGCGAGGGAGACGCGGGGTGACGCGAGGGAGACACGGGGTGACGCGAGGGAGACGCGAGGGAGACGCGGGGTGACGCGAGGGAGACGCGGGGTGACGCGAGGGAGACGCGGGGTGACGCGAGGGAGACGCGAGGGAGATGCGGGGTGACGCGGGGTAGACGCGGGGGAGACACGAGGGAGACACGGGGTGACGCGAGGGAGACACGAGGGAGACGCGGGGTGACGCGAGGGAGACGCGGGGTGACGCGGGGGAGACGCGGGGTGATGCGAGGGGGACGCGGGGTGACGCGAGGGAGACACGAGGGAGACGCGGGGTGACGCGAGGGAGATGCGGGGTGACGCGAGGGAGACGCGGGGTGACGCGAGGGAGACGCGGGGGAGACATGGGGGAGACGCGGGGTGACGCGAGGGAGACGCGGGGTGACGCGAGGGAGACGCGGGGTGACGCGAGGGAGACGCGGGGTGACGCGAGGGAGACGCGGGGTGACGCGAGGGAGACGCGGGGTGACGCGAGGGAGACGCGGGGTGATGCGAGGGAGACGCGGGGTGATGCGAGGGAGACGCGGGGTGACATGAGGGAGACACGGGGGAGACGCGGGGTGACGCGAGGGAGACGCGAGGGAGATGCGGGGTGACGCGGGGTAGACGCGGGGGAGACACGAGGGAGACACGGGGTGACGCGAGGGAGACACGAGGGAGACGCGGGGTGACGCGAGGGAGGCGCAAGGGAGACACGGGGTGACGCGAGGGAGACACGAGGGAGACGCGGGGTGACGCGAGGGAGACACGGGGTGACGCGAGGGAGATGCGAGGGAGACGCGGGGTGACGCGAGGGAGACACGGGGTGACGCGAGGGAGACGCGAGGGAGACGCGGGGTGACGCGAGGGAGACGCGGGGTGACGCGAGGGAGACGCGAGGGAGACGCGGGGTGACGCGAGGGAGACGCGGGGGAGACACAGGGTGACGCGAGGGAGACGCGGGGTGACGCGAGGAAGACGCGGGGGTGACGCGAGGGAGACGCGAGGGAGACGCGGGGTGACGCGAGGGAGACGCGGTGTGACGCGAGGGAGACGCGGGGGAGACGCGGGGTGACGCGAGGGAGACACGAGGGAGACGTGAGAGAGACACGTGGTGACGTGGGGTGACGCGAGGGAGACACGGGGGAGACGCGGTGTGACGCGAGGGAGACACGGGGGAGACGCGGTGTGACGCGAGGGAGACACGGGGGACTCGCACGGGAGACACGGGGTGACGCGAGGGAGACGCGGGGTGACGCGACGGAGACGCAGGGTGACGCGAGGGAGACGTGGGGTAACGCGAGGGAGACGCGGGGGAGACGCGGGGGAGACACGGGGTGACGCGAGGGAGACGCGGGGTGACGCGAGGGAGACGCGGGGTGACGCGAGGGAGACGCGAGGTGACGCGAGGGAGACGCGGGGTGACGCGAGGGAGACGCGGGGGAGACACGGGGTGACGCGAGGGAGACGTGGGGAAGACACGGGGTGACGCGAGGGAGACGCGGGGTAACGCGAGGGAGACGCGGGGGAGACGCGGGGGAGACACGGGGTGACGCGAGGGAGACGCGAGGGAGACGCGGGGTGACGCGAGGGAGACGCGGGGTGACGCGAGGGAGACGCGAGGGAGACGCGGGGTGACGCGAGGGAGACGCGGGGGAGACACAGGGTGACGCGAGGGAGATGCGGGGTGACGCGAGGGAGACGCGGGGTGACGCGAGGGAGACGCGGGGTGATGCGAGGGAGACGCGGGGTGACACGAGGGAGACACGGGGGAGACGCGGGGTGACGCGAGGGAGACGCGGGGTGACGCGAGGGAGACGCGGAGTGACGCGAGGGAGACGCGGGGTGACGTGAGGGAGACGCGGGGGAGACGCGGAGGAGACACGAGGGTGACACGGGGTGACGCGAGGGAGACACGAGGGAGACACGAGGGTGACTCGAGGGAGACACGAGGGAGACACGGGGTGACGCGAGAGAGACATGGGGTGACGCGAGAGAGACGCGGGGTGACGCGAGGGAGACGCGGGGTGACGTGAGGGAGACACGAGGGAGACATGGGGTGACGTGAGGGAGACGCGGTGTGACGCGAGGGTGACGCGAGGGAGACGCGGGGTGACGCGAGGGAGACACGAGGGAGACACGGGGTGACGTGAGGGAGACGCGGTGTGACGCGAGGGTGACGCGAGGGAGACGCGGGGTGACGCGAGGGAGACTCGGGGTGACGTGAGGGAGACGCGGGGTGACGCGAGAGAGACGCGGGGTGACGCGAGGGAGACGCGGGGGAGACACGAGGGAGACACGGGGTGACGCGAGGGAGACGTGGGGTGACGCGAGGAAGACGCGGGGTGACGCGAGGGAGACGCGGGGTGACGCGGGGAGACGCGGGGTGACGCGAGGGTGACGTGAGGTGACGCGAGGGTGACGCGAGGGAGACGCGGGGTGACGCGAGGGTGACGCGAGGGTGACGCGAGGTGACGCGAGGGTGACGCGAGGGAGACGCGAGGGAGACGCGGGGTGACGCGAGGGTGACGCGGGGTGACGCGGGGTGATGCGAGGGAGACGCGAGGGTGACGCGAGGGTGACGCGGGGTGACGCGGGGTGACGGGAGGGTGACGCGGGGTGACGCGAGGGAGACGCGAGGGAGACGCGAGGGTGACGCGGGGTGACGCGGGGTGACGGGAGGGTGACGCGGGGTGACGCGGGGTGACGCGAGGGAGACGCGGGGAGACGCGAGGGTGACGCGGGGTGACGCGAGGGAGACGCGGGGTGACGCGAGGGTGACGCGAGGTGACGCGGGGTGACACGAGGGAGACGTGGGGTGACGCAAGGGAGACGTGGGGTGACGCGAGGGAGATGCGGGGTGACGCGAGGGAGACACGAGGGAGACACGGGGTGATGCGAGGGAGATGCAGGGGGGACACGGGAGAAACGTGCGGGGGAGATGCGTGCGGGGGAGATGCGTGCACTAATGCAGGGGAGATGCGTGCACTAATGCAGGGGAGATGCGTGCGGGGGAGATGCGTGCACTAACGCAGGGGAGATGCGTGCACTAACGCAGGGGAGATGCGTGCGGGGGAGATGCGTGCACTAATTCAGGGGAGATGGGGGAGACGTGGGGGAGACCCGGGGAAGTTGTGGGGGAGTCGCGGGGGAGACGCAGGGGAGACTCGGGGGAGATAGGGGGGAAGTGCATGCGAAAACGCTGGGGGGACACGGTGGTGATGCAGGCAGGGATGCGGGGGAGACGCGGGGAGACGCCGTTCTCAGCTTTCACCGCGTCGCTGCCTCTGAGATTTTAACCCCTTGACTTTGAGTCTGGTACTCGGCTGGGTTGCAGCAGGCGCCGTTAGGTTGCGCCCCTGCTTCTAGCCGGAAACTTTTGCCGCGGATCGCTGCGCATCCCCTTCACGTGGTAGCGGTGGTCGTGGCGTGAAACTAGCAGAGAGGAGCGCAAACCGGTTGCGTTCGTTGAGCACGGCCTGTATCCTCACGGCTCGGCTCTGGCTCGAGTGAGAGCCGTCCCAAGCCAGGCGTTTAACTTGAGCCGCCGCTGCTCACGAGTCTGTGGAAGCAACCGAGCGGGTCGAGCCATTGGGCTAGAGGCGGTGGAGGAAACTGCTCGCGCCGCGGAGAGGGTGACGGGCGTGGGTGTTCTTCTGTCTTGCAGCTGTCGGCGTCGCCCACAGGAAGATTGCCGTTGTGCAGCCGAAGCAACAGTAAGAGAGCGCGTGCGATCACAGAGAGCACACGAGTCCGTTCTTCTCTGCACACAAAATATAGATGAAGTTCACTGCAACAGCTTTGCGGGTCTTCGTGCAAACCTCGTACGGGTTTTGACCCTCGGAATCTCGCCATCATCGTCGGGCCCGTTAGGTACTCGCTGCCGCGTCCGGCAGCTGTTGATGACGACCGTCTCGCTCGATCGGTCGGTGCGGTAGTGGATTTACAGAGTGCCGAGCGTGGCGATGATCGTCGATCAGCCGCTCTGTTTGGAGGTGGCCTCTCCGGTCTTGTTCGACCGGCATTGGCTCGAGCGAGCCTGACTCTGCTGATGAGACACTGAATGTTGAAACCGGGCCAGAGTTTGCTTGTTCCCATCAACGCTGTTCAAAATACCCGTGTGCTCCCAGAAGGCCATGCTGCCAATGCAGCTCGTAGGGATACTTCATATTGTTGACGCGCGCGCACACGCGCACGCACGTAGGGGGGGGCTCATTCATTGGACCGTGAGCGTGCCTTTTAGAAAGGCGCCCACTTGGCTCTTAATAGAGACTCGCCGGTGTCTGTGGCCTCGCTGTGGCGCTTCCTGACCTGTGTCTGCGCAGTGCGAACGCGGTGTAAGGGGACGATGCCCCGAACGTCACCGTGCCTGAACGGTCACCGGCGGCCGTCGACGGCGCGTCCCGCCGCGTGTGCCCGATCTCTGCTCTGCGGTGTGCAGAGTGCCGGTGCCATTTGCCGCGGGGGAGACGCGGGCGCGGAGGGAGCTGTCGCTGCAGCCAAGCGACACGGGTAAACGGTGGCGGAAGGGGAGATCTGCTAATCCACCCAGGGCGACTTCACGAACGCTCCGGTCAAGTCCGTTGTTAATGGGTGGTACATCGGCTCTAGAGAGGGGAGACTATTTAAAAGCTATGTTTTATTTTATTAGCTAACACCCACTGAGCTATATAGTTATTTTTCATAAGCGACCTGGCCACAAATGATAGCCCAATTAAGTGGCTTATCACGTGGATATTTATAGCCGCAAAATGCTCTAAACGCACTTTGATTCTAAATGTGGAGGAAAAAAACGGACTACCCGGAGAAAAATCCACGCGAACACGGGGAGAGAGACATGAAAACTCCATATATACAGGCGTCAGGGTCAGGATCGTAGCCACAGCCTCCTGCATATCACGCGAGAAACAGGGTACCCAAAATATACCCACCGTTCAGACAAGGAGACCGTGCTCTCAAAGCTCCGCACAGATTCATTCAATAATCTGTCGCCCCTCTCATGGCCACCTTACAGCCCAGTAGAAGTGAGGGACACCATAGGTGAGGTGGAATCAGCCGTGGTTTGTGGAATCATCGGCACGGTGCACATGGAAGCACTGCTCTGGACAGTTAATCGGGACATTTATTTTTTACCGAATTAAGAAACTGGCTCCCCGGTGGCTGCGTGGCCGTGCCTGTGACGAGGCTGGTGTGGCCGACAGCACGGTAGGCAAATGCGGTCCGCGCGTGTCGACGCGGCGATGCCCTTGCGATCGTGCGATCGGTGTGCCCCCAGGACCCGGCAGTGGCAAGTACTGCTGCCCCAAGATCTTCATCAACCACCGCTGCTTCTCAGGGCCGTTCCTCAACAAGGGCCGCATCGCCGAGCTCCCCCAGTCGGTCGGGCCGGGCAGCTGCGTCCTCGTCCTGCGGGAGGTTAGGGCCGGCCTCGTCTCGCATGAGAGCATGATCACCACCACGACCGCAGTGACCACCACGACGATGACTACGACCACGATGACGACCACGATGACGACCACGATGACGACCACAACAACAACCACCATGACGATGACCGTGATGACGCCGTTTGTGTCATGGTCTCGGTGTGGCGACGTGCGCAGGTCCTGTCGCTGCTCATCAACTCCGCGTACAAGCCCAGCCGTGTCCTACACGAGCTACAGCTAAAGGGGCAGCCGCAGTGGGGAGGTCAAGAGGAGACGATCAAAGCCAAGTACCGTCCCCCCCCCCTCTCCCCTCTTGTTTGTTCATTCGTTGCCGAGTTCGCTCATTATCTCGCTTGCAAAGTCGCTCATTCACATAGCCACTCGGTTAATGTTGTTCTCCCTTACCCCTTCCGAAACGACTTCAAGTTGTAGGGTGATTCACCGTTGAATCTCGGCTCGGCGTAAATTTGATTGAGAGAGGCGTAGCAGCGCGTTGTTTTCAAAGACGTGGTACTCACTGCAGAGAACCGTAGTAACACATGGCCTTGTAGAAGCCTCGGTACCAATAAAGTTTAAACATTTTCTTCTGGAATCAGAAGAAAATTGATGATGTATACATACGTCATCGGAACGGGAAAGGGTTAATGTGTTTTGTTCTCTCAGCACCATTTTTGCCTGCCCCTCCGACGCTCTTTGTTCCGTTGCTGCCTGTTCCCCTGTACGGATAGCTCTGACGTCGCAGTCCTTGCCCTGTGCTGATAACCCCACGGATCTCCCTCGCAAGCTAGCTTTGGTAAATTAGCTACACGGGATTTTCCACGTAACAAATAAATATCGATTATCCATTAGTTCTTCAATCGTGCGACTCGTTTAGTTTTGGGTCAGGTCGCGTGGGTGCGATTGCCAGTCAGAGCCGCGTGCCCTCCACCACCCAACACAGCCAAACAATGGAAGTTGTCGCGTGGTGGACAAACAGGCCAAGGGATTGTGGTGATTTTCGGCAAATGCGGCCGCGCGTGGGCGCAAGCAGAATTCGACAAATACGTTTGGTGTCTCGCCGGAGGTTACAGCCGGCATCAGCGGGCATGAGAGAGCGCAGTCGCTCGGTCTGAGCTCGGGGGGCCACACGTGCAGTTCTTTTCGGTGGTCTGCGCAAGGCTGTGACGTTAACCCCCCCCCCCCCCGCCTCGCCCCCCTCCACCGCATGCATGTGCCAGGTACAGCGGGAAGCGCTATCGCGCCAAGGTGGAGCTGGTGCGCATGGCGGAGCAGGTGGCGGACTTCTGTCGCAGCACCTGCGTCCGCCTGCAGTGCTGCCCTCTGCTGTTCGGCCCGGCCTCCACCACAAGCTGCTGCCCCGAGAGCTGTCACACCCGCACCAAGACCAAGTACAGTTGAGTCCCGGGATCACGATCCTCAGCTCCTTCCCCCGGAGGGGGGTTGGGGGGGAGGATACACTGAGAGACGGCAGGAAGAGGAGCACGTGGATTCGAGAACGCACGAAGGTTCATGATATTGTCCAAACGCCGACTATTTTTTTTTTTTACCAGGTAAGGTCCACTTAGCTGTCTAGCGCTTTTGCAGAAGCGACCTGACTATCAGAAATGATAGCTCAATGAAGTGGCTTATCATTACGTGGACATTTATAGCAGCCAAATACTCTAAACGCGTAATGTTGATTCCATGCGACCGCGGGGAGAGACGCGCAAACTCCAAATATACAGCAGCAGGTGTCAGGGTCGGGATCGAACCAACTACCTCCTACAGGAGATGTAGTTAGCATCTCCTAGCCACTGCGGCACCCGTTGGGAGTATTAAGTGGGGCTTGGGACAGCAGGACGCATCGCGGTCAGCAAGGACGATGGCCAACGGTCAAAATAACTACGGAGTGGCTGACAGCCAGAAGAGGGAACGCAGAATCCAGAGAGCACGTCCAGCGTGGAGACGGAGTCAGTTGGTGTGCACGTGCTGGATGGATTGTTTACACCGCAGGATCGTGAGACGATGCAACGGCCTAGGAAGGCCTTTATCTAGCAGCGTATTGATCGTGGCTGATGATAAGGATGACGATCCGCATACGGGAGGAAATGGAGAGTAGCCAGATAAATTTAGTTTTATAATAAAAGATTTTCCTTTGGTCAAGACTTTCACCCATTGTGCCTCTATCTCACCTGAATTCCCAAGCAACGGAGGAGCAGCGTCCCTGAGTCCGTCACCGGGCCGTAAGTGGTCGAGGTGGGAGGATTGGGAAGCAGACAATGTCAAGCCACAACATTTACAATCTGAACACGACATTAATCTCCCCCCCCACTTTGCGCAAGGGTGCAGAAGTGTGGTCACCACATCTACGCCTCTAAATAAGGAACGAAACAGGTGGACTTCTCCACAAATCTGGCTGTCGCCTGATGAAGCAAGTTGTAATTACTGGCAAAACGTCGTGGTCAGATTGTAAATGTTGTGGCTTGGCTCTCCAACACATCGGTGTGCTGTACTAGTGACGAATTGGCATGCTCTGTTTACATTGCAATCCTTACTAGTTGGCTGTGTCGGGTGGTGGCGGGTTTTAACGACATTTTTATATATTTACACGATCTAGCCCAAAAAAACGATGTCATGCCACTGATAATGTCCGAGTGGTGGCGGGGGGGTGCCTCATGGGTTCTTGGTCATGAGCAGGAATCGAACTCGGGTCGCTGCCGAGTTCGTAGTGCAGCGCGCTCCCGCTACACTACCGCTCCCCACGCGGCCTCGTGGATTCTTAACGGCCCTGTCAGATCAGACACCTGCTAGGTCCCTGTTTTTGAACCCACGTTGCAGCCACCCATAATTAAATCAGGTCCTCAGGGTGGAGCCGGGTAACGCAGTCGGCCCATTCACGTAATCCAGCTCCGAGAATGAAGCAGTTCTGGTTGACGTCCATGCGGCGCACACTTATGCTTTTGACGTGGGCACAGTGTGCCCCCCACGTGGGCACGGAGGCCAATTGAAGCCAATTCGGAAGTGGCGTGCGACATCCTATCTGCATGTCCGGACACAAGATGGTGCACGTGATGTGGCTGATCGCATAATCGGGGAACATATTACATAGAATTCTGACGTGGAGTCGTGTGATATAAAAACACTCATCGTTGAATATGATCGGTCCACTGCTGGATGAATCTGCTCCTCCGATTAGCACGGCTATGTACGGTGCGAAAGAAGTTCAACAAGCCGTCGCCATCTCGAGCGGTGCGATGCAAAGCCACCCAACTTCACCGTTCCATCTCCACGTCGGTCGTTCAACCCGTCCACCGTAGTCCCGCCGATTGCGCGGTGGCTTACGGTAGCCGCGTCGCCTGTGTTCCGCAGCGTACCACCACGGCAGGAGGCGGTGTCGGCGTGTCGTGCCGAGGTTGGCGAGCGACGGTAACGACCGGGGCCCGAAGCTGGCGCCGCGGAACGGCCTCAAGAGGACGGGCACCGCCTCCAGCGTAGACAGCTCCTGCGCCGGCTCCCCGCAGGTAAGCGCTCACTGCGCCGTGACCCTGCGCGCGCTCCGCTTTCCGCCAATTATTGGCGCTTCCCTGTTATCCACATATGGGTAAAAGGTCAAGGCGCGGCTCTTCGCCAATGCTCGCCCGTGCCCCTGCGGCAGAAGGGCCTCCACTGGAGTGAACGCACGGGGCCTAATTTGTCCGGCCCCGTCTCACACGGCCCCGTCTCACACTGCCCCGTCTCACACGGCCTCGTCTCACACGGCCTCGTCTCACACGGCCCCGTCTCACACTCCCCGTCTCACACTCCCCGTCTCACACGGCCCCGTCTCACACGGCCTCGTCTCACACGGCCCGTCTCACACGGCCCCGTCTCACACTCCCCTGTCTCACACTGCCCCGTCTCACACGGCCCCGTCTCACACTGCCCCGTCTCACACGGCCCCGTCTCACACGGCCCGTCTCACACGGCCCCGTCTCACATGGCACTGTCTCTTGTCTCACACGGCCCCGTCTCACACTGCCCCGTCTCACACGGCACCGTCTCACACTGCCCCGTCTCACACTCCCCGTCTCACACGGCCCCGTCTCACACGGCCCTGTCTCACACGGCCTCGTCTCACACGGCCCCGTCTCACACGGCCCGTCTCACACGGCCCCGTCTCACATGGCACTGTCTCTTGTCTCACACGGCCCCGTCTCACACTGCCCCGTCTCACACGGCACCGTCTCACACTGCCCCGTCTCACACTCCCCGTCTCACACGGCCCCGTCTCACACGGCCCTGTCTCACACGGCCTCGTCTCACACTGCCTCGTCTCACACGGCCCCGTCTCACACGGCCCCGTCTCACACGGCCCCGTCTCACACGGCCCCGTCTCACACGGCCCCGTCTCACACGGCCCCATCTCACACTGCCCCGTCTCACACGGCCCGTCTCACACGGCCCGTCTCACACGGCCCGTCTCACACGGCCCCGTCTCACACGGCCCCGTCTCACACGGCCCCGTCTCACACGGCCCCGTCTCACACTGCCCCGTCTCACACGGCCCCGTCTCACACTGCCCCGTCTCACACGGCACTGTCTCACACGGCCCCGTCTCACACGGCCCGTCTCACACGGCCCGTCTCACACTGCCCCGTCTCACACGGCCCCGTCTCACACGGCCCCGTCTCACACTGCCCCGTCTCACACGGCCCCGTCTCACACTGCCCCGTCTCACACGGCCCCGTCTCACACTGCCCCGTTTCACACGGCCCCGTCTCACACTGCCCCGTCTCACACGGCCCCGTCTCACACTGCCCCGTCTCACACGGCCCCGTCTCACACGGCCCCGTCTCACACTGCCCCGTCTCACACGGCCCGTCTCACACGGCCCCGTCTCACATGGCCCCGTCTCACACTGCCCCGTCTCACACGGCCCCGTCTCACACGGCCCCGTCTCACACGGCCCCGTCTCACACTGCCCCGTCTCACACGGCCCCGTCTCACACTGCCCCGTCTCACACGGCCCCGTCTCACACGGCCCCGTCTCACACTGCCCCGTCTCACACGGCCCCGTCTCACACGGCCCCGTCTCACACTGCCCCGTCTCACATGGCCCCGTCTCACACGGCCCCGTCTCACACTGCCCCGTCTCACACGGCCCCGTCTCACACGGCCCCGTCTCACACTGCCTCGTCTCACACGGCCCCGTCTCACACTGCCCCGTCTCACACGGCCCCGTCTCACACGGCCCCGTCTCACACTACCCCGTCTCACACGGCCCCGTCTCACACGGCCCCGTCTCACACTGCCCCGTCTCACACGGCCCCGTCTCACACGGCCCCGTCTCACACGGCCCCGTCTCACACGGCCCGTCTCACACTGCCCCGTCTCACACGGCCCCGTCTCACACTGCCCCGTCTCACATGGCCCCGTCTCACACTGCCCCGTCTCACACTGCCCCGTCTCACACGGCCCCGTCTCACACGGCCCCGTCTCACACGGCCCCGTCTCACACGGCCCCGTCTCACACTGCCCCGTCTCACACGGCCCGTCTCACACTGCCCCGTCTCACACTGCCCCGTCTCACACGGCCCCGTCTCACACGGCCCCGTCTCACATGGCCCCGTCTCACACTGCCCCGTCTCACACTGCCCCGTCTCACACTGCCCCGTCTCACACGGCCCCGTCTCACACTGCCCCGTCTCACACGGCCCCGTCTCACACTGCCCCGTCTCACACGGCCCGTCTCACACTGCCCCGTCTCACACTGCCCCGTCTCACACTGCCCCGTCTCACACTGCCCCGTCTCACACGGCCCGTCTCACACGGCCCCGTCTCACACGGCCCCGTCTCACACGGCCCCGTCTCACACTGCCCCGTCTCACACGGCCCGTCTCACACTGCCCCGTCTCACACTGCCCCGTCTCACACTGCCCCGTCTCACACGGCCCGTCTCACACGGCCCGTCTCACACGGCCCCGTCTCACACTGCCCCGTCTCACACTGCCCCGTCTCACACTGCCCCGTCTCACACTGCCCCGTCTCACACGGCACCGTCTCACACGGCACCGTCTCACACGGCCCGTCTCACATGGCACCGTCTCTCGTCTCGCACTGCCCCGTCTCACACGGCCCGTAGAACACAGCCCCGTTGCACACGGCAGATACGAATCGACTTATTTAAATGCACAGTTCAGAGTAATCTAATTGCTGTGTATAGTATAATTATTCCTATCACTGCGCTTCTTTACCCAGGAAAGCCTCACTGAGTCCCAAGCACCTATTTGAGGCAGTACCTGCCAAGTGTTTGCAGTAGGGGGCGATGTTGTTATATTTCCTAATTAAATACATTTCTAGTTGTAACTTTTTGCCCCATCTTCTAGAAGTAATGCCACGGTATCTTTTCCGTCCACCTGCGATGCACACGGCGCGTAGTATTTTATAATGGACACCCGCTGTAATATTAACCACGGCAGCTTTACGGATTTGCACTACCAACCTCTGCATCAAGAGGTGACCGTGCTACACCTGGGCCATGAAATGTATTGTATTATCTACTGTCGTCACTACGTTATGTCGTGGCACATCATTATGCAGTGTCGTGTTACGTATTGTCGTGTTACGTAGTGTCGTGTTGGATTGTATCCTCGTGTTCTGCTGTGCGGTCACCACCAGAACGGGACGCATGGGCTGGAGGGCGAGGAGTGCGACGAGGTGGATGAGGAGGATGAGGAGTCCGGCAGCAGCAGCAGTAGCGCCGCGTCGTCATCGTGGGCGGGCGAGGAGCCGGCGTCCACGGTCGCCGCGGCGACCGCCGGCGTTTTCTCCTCCTCCTCCTCGCTGGCGCCAGTGCGAGGAGCCGGAGCGACGCGCAAGCCGCCCCGGAGCGTCGCGGCGGCGTCGCGGCCAGCGCCGCAGCTGCCGACGCTGCTGGTGCTGGAGCGGACCAAGCGCAAGCGCAAGATTCGCTCATTCTCTTCGGATGACGAGCAGAGTAAACCGCGGCGCAGCGGCGGCGCAAAGGTACGGCGGCAGCGAGACAGTCGCGCGTGCTCCATATAGGGCCAGGTGGGGCATTGCAGTCGATCGACCAACACGGATTGTGTGTGTGTGCGTGTGTGTGGGGAGCGGTATTGCAACGGTTATGACGCTGCGCTACGAACCCAGCGACCCGAGTTCGGTTCCCGCTCACGGCCAACACCAGTGATGATTATCTGAACCTGAACCGGACCTGGGCCTCCCCTAGGTCGACTCGGCCTCAAACAGGTGCCCGGTGCGGTGCTGGTCACCCACCCCCAGTGCCGGCCTTGATAGGTGCTTGCTAACGGCACTTGCTCCTGCAGTCTGTTAAGGCTACACGTGGGGATCTTTTTATTTCTCTTTGTGTGTGCGTGTGTTTGGGTGTTGTAGGTTTGTGCGTGTGTTTGGGTTTGTTTTTGTGTGGGGGTGTGGCCTCAAAGTGCACCTACCCTGGCACAAGCGCCGTGGTGACGTCATCGCCACTTAGTGGCGAATGGCAGTCGTGTTTTTGTGTGTGTTTGTCTTTGTCGACGTGTGCGCGCGCGAGTGTGTGTGTGTGTAATGGGGTTGTGACGTGGCCCAGCCTGAGCGTGTTCACCGCTTGTTGCAGAGGTTTGAATTCAGTAGTCCGCCCTTGTTAATACTGCGGGTGTATTGACCACAAGATAAGTGTCATCTGCTGCACAGTGGATGTTAAAAGTTCCCGTGACGTCATTCGCGTTTTTTCAGGGTAATGAATCGATGCACTTTACTACCTGGGGTATTGGAGTAAACCGCAGATTACATGAATGTGCATTGTGTTATGGTCCCAAGTATGTTTTACACCCCTCACAAAGACAAAGATCCCATGAGTAGCCTGCTTAAAATGCTCGGGCAAGTGCGGTTAGCAAGAACCTCGTAATATCAGCGCAGCCAGCACTAAACCCGTTCACCGTTGTCTCCCTGGTCGTGACGATTACACACAGCACCTGGTACTATTTTAAGGCTGAGTCAACCTAGGAGATGCCCATGACCGGATCAGATATTCGTCACCAAATTTGGTGGCCGTGAGCGGGAATCAATCTCGCCTGGTTCGTAGTGCAGCGGGGCTAACCGTTGCAATACACATACACACACACGAAGACACAAAAGACAAAAGATCCCGCGTATAGCCTGAACAGACTGTAGGGGCAAGTGCTGTTAACCAGCACCTATGAAGGCCGGCACGGCACACGAGGGGGTGGGTGGCCAATACCACGCCCGGCTGCTTTTGTCTCCCCAGTGGCGATGTTTACACATCGCACCAGATACTCAATTGAGGCTGAGTCGACCTAGGGGGAGGCCCAGGACCGATTCAGATTATCGTCACCGGTGTTGGTGGCTGTGAGCGGGAATCGAACTCGGGTCTCCGGGTTCGTACCGCAGCACACGAACTGTCACACTACCGCTCCCCAGATTCATGAGGTCACACACACACGCGTACACACAAATACCGGGGCGACCGCATTCCTGCACACACTGTGACTTCCTGCTCCACGTGCCCCATGGAGAGTGCCGGCCGCGGGGGCCCACTTGGCCCTGGGGGGGGGGGGGGGGAGGCCGTGCCATCTCGACGATAGGAACCGTTCCAAGGCTGTTGACCCTCGGAGAACGACCAGGAAGGGCCGCTGACGTCGCCATCTCCGCCGCCGCCGCCGTTCTGTCGTCGTTACCGTTATTATTATTACTACGTTCGTTGCGGTTTTCAGATTCATGAGGCCGCACTGTTCAAATGCGTCAACGGCGACGCGTGGACGCCCGTTTCGATTTATTTTTTGCGCACAAGTGCTCCCGAGACGAGTGGCCTCGGAGCGCCGGCGCAGAGCCGCCAGCGCCGGCGACGCTGCGCGCACGGAGCGCGGGCACGTGCAGGAGGGGGGGGTGGTGAGCGGCCGCGGGCCCCTTCGGGCCCCCCGCGCGATGCTGTGGCGGGCAATGGTGGCGCCGGGCCTGGTCGCTGTTCGCTGACAACGTGCGCACCCAGCAGAGTGCCTGGAGGATGAGAGAGAGAGAGAGGATTAAAAGCAACGCAGTTTCACTTTACGTTTTTTGCGTTTACGCCGACGCCTCAGCGCCCGGAGAAGCACCGTGTGCGTTGCGCCGCTGCCGCCGCCGCTTTGTATGCCTTTCGTGCGTCTGCTGTTTTGTTTGCTGGCGTTATGTCTGTTGTATATCTGCGATCGGGCTGTCGTGAGTCTCGCCGGTGGACCGGTGGGCAGCAAATGAATAAAAAGCCGTTGGCGAGCGTCGACTTCCTTGTGAAACGTGGTTGGTTTCCTGATTTTGGCCCAGGAAGACGGTGGGGGGGGGGGGGGGGGAGGCATTTGACCATCTCCGCTATGTTTCAGGATCGTAATAATGATGATGGTCGTTATTTTTCTACATTGGGATGGTTGGGGCGATGATCCCATGAATGAGGAGAGGTTTGACTTTGTGTGGGAGGAGACCTCACACTCAAAGCTCCGCACAGATAGATTTTAGAATCCATGGCTGTGCTGCCTTCTGGCCCGACGCACGGCTGAAACCCACAACACCAGTGTTTGCCAAACAAAGGACCACGGGGTCCCCACCCGCCTCGCTTGCGATGCTTTTTTTCTGGCGCGAGCGACGCCGGACAGTCCACACGCTTGCCCTGCTCTGCACGTACGTTGAACTTCTTGAGCGCCGTACGTAGCCATCCGTGTTGCTAATCGGAAGTTCCGGGGGAAGGACAACAAACCGAATGCAATAAGCAATTTGGAAGAAATCGAGTGGCCTCGACGCGGGGTTGGTGGATCGTGCAGAGATGGGGCCCACGGTGCGCGCGACGCCTCCCCTGGGCACGGCAACGAAATGCCAGTTGGGAAAATCGACGGTAATTGTAAAGATTTGACCACAGCAAGAAACTGGAAACACTGCAAATGTTGACACGTCGGGCGGTGCACATTGCCGCCGTTTCAAGGACCATTTGAAAACGAGGCGGACGGTGTTAAAGCGTTTTCATGGTTGGCAGCAGCGTCCTCGTCGCCATCGTCGCCCGTCGTAATGCGACGACGTGTAACGTCGTTATTAACATCACCATCGTCAGTAGGGCATTACAATCAACATGCGGTCGTAATCGATCGATGCCATGGCCACGATCGCTTTCAATTGTTATCATTGATCATCGTCGTCAGTTTGCGGCCGAAACACGTTTGCGTTACGGACCAGTGATGTAGCTTTCGGGGCCTATCCTGCACTGATTTTAAAGGCCACTCAAAGTTAACCGGCGGTTATAATCTATTAACTCCGGGATGAAGGCCTTCCCTGGTCCGCCGTACGAATCCCACGATGACGCAGTCGATCTAAAACTTTTTTAACACATTTTTTTTATTTTACCAGGTAAGGCCCACTGAGCTTTTTAGCTCTTTTTAAATCCTTATAAAATAAGTTCACTTGCTTGCTTGCGTGCTTGCGTGCTTGCTTGCTTACGACCGTGCAAATCTTTCGGTCGTTTTTTAACCCACTTCCCGTGATCCAATCGAGCTGACATTTTGCACACAGACTCGTTGTGCGTGACAATTAATTTTCGTGGGAAAAAAATTCCAAAATTTTACACTGTTTAGGGAATTTTTTTTAAATATTTAATTACCAATTGCTTAATGATGGCAGACAATCATCTGACCCATAGGTGGCAGCCATCTCAAGCCAGAGGACGAGAGGACTCTAGCCGCCCGTTTCATGATGACGCAAATGTTGACTAACCACATGGCATGAAATCCCTGCCCCCACGCTGTACAGTGTAGACTATTTATAGAGCAGTTAAATTGAAGCCACCAGGTTCTTCAAAGTAAAACGGGTCAACGCTAGTACCCTCGGGAATATAGGGGAATGTCAAGAGGTGATCTTACATTTTTTAATCTTTTATATTAAGTTCACTTGCTTGCTTGCTTGCTTACTCAAGAAAAACAGAAATGAATAATAAAATAAAACCGATGCCACGCATGTAAAGGATTTATAGTGAAAAACTTTGTTTTTACAGGTTCATTTTTTCAGAAGTGACCTGGCTATCACGAACGGTAGCTCAATGAAGTAGCTTATCATTCGGAAATTCATTAGCAGCCGAATACTCCAAATGCGTGATGTTGATTCTAAATGTGGAGGGAATAACTGGAGCACCCGGAGAAAAATCCACGCAACCATGGGGAGAGAGACACGCAAACTCGGGATCTAACCCTCGATCTCCTGTACACCATGCGAGGTAGTTAACATCTCCTAGCCACCGTGATAATAATGAGAGAGAGAGACACGCAAACTCCAAATATACAGCAGGCGTCAGGGTCGGGATCGAACCCTCGTCCTGTACACCATGCGAGGTAGTTAACATCTCTTAGCCACCATGATGATGATGAGAGAGAGCACGCAAAGTCAAAATATACAGCAGGCGTCGGGGAGCTTGGCAAACGGGACGATATGGGAGGGCAGAAGTATCTGAGTGTGACAGTGGTAATGTGAGTTTGTGGTTTCGAGCCCGACCCTGACGCCTGTATATTTGGAGTTTGCATGTTCTACCCATGGTGGCGTGGACCTTTCTCCGTTTCTTCCTTCCACATTTAGAATCAACATTACTCGTTTCGAATATTTGGCTGCTATAAATTCCCACGCGATAAGCCACTTTGTTCAGCTAGTGACCAGGTCGCTTCCGAAAAATAGCTATATAGCAGCTCAGTGGGACTTACCTGGTAAAATAAAAAAAAAATTGTTTAGTTTTAGTATAACGGTCCCATCGCTCCCACCGTCGCCGCCACCCCCGGCACGGTGGCCATCGTCGTGCTGCGGTGTTCCCTCCACCGGCTGCCGTCCTGTCGCCAGTCTCGTCCACTCTCGTAGCGTCCGCTCTGGCGTCGTTGTCGCGGTGCCTTAGCCCGTTCGTCTTCCCCGACCGTCGGCGTGCGGTCTCTCTCATTGGTAAGGAGAGAATCGGGCTTCTTTGGCTTGAACCAATGCTGGTGAGCTGCCAGATGTTTATAGGCAAGGACCCCTCTCCCAGGTATGGAGTCGCTGTACCTAACCCGAACCCACGCCCAGTCTTGTTTTAGCCAAGTGCCACTGCCGTCGGCGGCTGAAGAAAAACTCCGTTGCATCGCTCGTGTCAACCTCCGAGCCGTTGTGAACGACGCGGTGACACTCGCGGCAAAAAGCCGCCTGGGTTTGATTCCCGACTCGGTGGCCTCTCTGTGCGGAGTATCCATGCTCTCCCCCGGGTTCTCCGGTTTCCCCCCATAGCTACAATACAATAACACACGATGTAACAAACAACGTTCAGAGTGCAAAAATAAATACCAGCAAAATTACTCTAAACTAAACTATTTTCATTTTACCATGTAAGGCCCCACTGAGTTCTATAGCTCTTCTTCAGAAGCGACCTGGCTTTCACAAATGATAGCTCAACGAAGTGGCTTATTGCTTGGAAATTCATAGCGTATGTTTATTCTAAATGTGGAAGGAGAATCCGGAGGACCTGGAGAAAAATGCGCGCCACCACGGGGTGAGAGACGCATGCAAACTCCAAATATACAGCAGCAGGCGTCAGGGTCGGGCTTGAACCCACGACCTCCTGCATACCAGGCGAGGCAGATAACATCTTGCCACCGTGGCAGCCCTACTCGCTTGGAATCACACAACAGCAGCAGCAGCAGGAACATCGCCCCCCGTACTGCGCACACTTGACAGGAGCTTCCCGAACGTGTGTCTTGAGACTCCTCGGTGAGGCCGTCCTGGGCGATGGCGCGTCCCTGGACTCTGATCAACGTCCCGGTCGCCTGCTTTCCGCTCCCCTCCCCTCCCCGGGACCCCTGCTGGCTACCCGGAACGGCGCCGCGCACCGCGGATCTGCGCGCCAGCGGCCCAAGCAGGAGAAGCCGGAGCCGGCGGCCGAGTCAACGCGGCAGCCGGTGACGACGCCGCAGCAGCAGCAGCCATCGGCGGCGTCGGCGCCAACGCCGGCGCAGCAGGAGTTTGCGCTGGAGAGCAACCCGCTGGGGTGGAGCGTGGCGGACGTGGTGCGGTACATCAAGAACACCGACTGCTCCCCCATGGCACGGCTCTTCCTTGAACAGGCGAGCCATCGCCATCACCGCCATCACCGCCATCGTCGCCGCTGTCATCGCCGTCATCCACCCCAGTCGCTCGTAGTCCACCACCGTCGTCATCTTGCGTTGTCTAAACCGGCGGCTACCGCCCACCGACTACGCGCCGTTGCTGGCCTGCAAGGCCATGGTCCACGGTGCTGCCGTGGATTTGACAATATATATTTAACAATATATATTGTCGTTTCCATATTGTAAATGTGGATTTGCTCTCCAACACACTGGTGTGCTGTGCTAGTAACGAATTGGCATGTTCTATTTACCTGACAAACCTTACTAATTGGCTGTGGCGGGTTTGACGACACATTTACACAATCTAACCCAAAAAAACCCCTATATTATGGATATATATTTTTTTACTTCTCATTGCACAACTATTTATGTATTCGGCAATAAACGGAAAGCTAGCATTTTTTATGGCCTTAGAATTAACTAACTTGTTACAGGTGTTTTTTGAGCAGTTTGAATTATGAAAAATGGTGCGTCGGCGAGAGCGTTGGCGGTGATCGGAGGTCCAGAAACGTTGGCAAGCATTGCTCAATGCTACATCCATCACCATCGTCATCCTCCTCATCATCGTCATCATCATTGCTCCAGGTGCCACAATCAGGACTGTGGAATTTCCACCGCTGACTTGGGTCCACCGCCCGCGGACGACCAGCTCCCCTCCCCTCCCCCACGTGTCACGTGACCCACAGCTTTTTCCCCCACTGTCCTGACGACGCACGCCGGTGCCGCCCCCCCCCTCTCCCAGCAGGAGATCGACGGGCAGGCACTGCTGCTGCTCACGCTGGCAACGGTGCAGGAGTGCATGGACATCAAGTTGGGCCCCGCCGTCAAGTTGTGCCACCACGTGGAGCGGCTCAAGGCCGCCTTCTACCGCCAGTTTGCACGCTGACGAGCTTGCTGGCGAGTTTGCTGGCGAGGTGACTGGCGAGGCGGCTGACGGAGGTGGCTGGCGACGTGGCTGGCGACGTGGCTGGCGACGTGGCTGGCAACGTGGCTGGCGAGGTAGCTGGCGACGTGGCTGGCGAGGTGGCTGGCGATGTGGCTGGCGACGTGGCTGGCGAGGTGACTGGCGAGTGGGCTCATGAGGTGGCTGGCAAGGCAGCTGGCGATGTGGCTCAGGGGGCTTGGTTTACAATGGCCGTGTCGGGAGGTACCCAGCCACCGAGCCGGCATGAAGGGATGCGTGGGTTTGGCAATCGCCGTCGTTTCCTCCACTGCGGATGCTCGCACGACAGAGTCATGCGTGTGTGATCCATGTTCGTTTTTGGGTTCGGCCCCATGTAGTTTGTTTTAGTTAAATTCCAAAATTCTTGTCGTTGGCCCTCCACCACCCGACGTGGTTGCCACGTTTACGCAGGTGTTCAGTTACACGCGTTGCTAGTGTACCGATCATATTCTGACCGATGGGGATCGTTAGGTGGCTCTCGAGGTCTTTTCTGGACAGCATTCACCACGAACGACGTATGACGATGGTCGGCTAAATAATAATAACGACGCCTGTGTGAAGGTGCCGATCTCGTTGGACCGTGGAGGGTCATGACGATAATCTTGGCATGAAGACAAACCGCCGTGCGGTTCGACCCAAAAACAAACGCCGGACCCGTTGCGCTGGCCACTAGGGCCTCTAGCGCGTTAAGTCTCAACGGGTTGATTCTCGAATCGGTATCGCGGGTCTTGCAACGCGGGACGGTTGATCTGAACCCGCCGCTCAGACGTGGTACGTCTCAAACTTACGTGGCCGTGACGTGCGGTACGGATTTCGATGGAGCAGTAGCGCACTCGCGGCGTTGCGTGCGCGGCAGCTCTTGGCCTCGATGCAGAGCCACCGGTTCGGAAGAACCCCATCTTGGTCACCATTGTCTCTCCGGCTGCCAACTCGATACACGTGGACAACCGACACGTGGCGCAGAGTGAAGCGAAGACACGACCGTCGAGCGGTTTCGTCCTCCTTGTTCAGACTCGTCAGCGCAGCATGGCCAGCAATGTTCGCTGCTGCCACTTGCCCTGGGAACCCTTACATGGAGAGAACTTGTACCCCTACACTCTCCCATTAGCTCTCTCCCATTAACTCTCCCCATTAGCTCTCTCCCATTAGCTCTCCCCATTAGCTCTCTTCCATTAGCTCTCCCCATTAACTCTCTCCCATTAGCTCTCCCCATTAGCTCTCCCCATTAGCTCTCTCCCATTAGCTCTCCCCATTAGCTCTCTTCCCATTAACTCTCCCCATTAACTCTCCCCATTAACTCTCTCCCCATTAGCTCTCCGCATTAACTCTCCCCATTAGCTCTCTCCATTAGCTCTCCCCATTAACTCTCCCCATTAGCTCTCCCCATTAACTCTCCCCATTAACTCTCTCCCCATTAGCTCTCTTCCCATTAACTCTCCCCATTAACTCTCCCCATTAACTCTCCCCATTAACTCTCTCCCCATTAGCTCTCCCCATTAGCCCTCTCCATTAGCTCTCCCCATTAACTCTCTCCCATTAGCTCTCTCCCATTAGCTCTCCCCATTAACTCTCTCCCCATTAACTCTCCCCATTAACTCTCCCCATTAACTCTCTCCCCATTAGCTCTCCCCATTAGCTCTCTCCATTAGCTCTCCCCATTAACTCTCTCCCATTAGCTCTCCCCATTAGCTCTCCCCATTAACTCTCTCCCATTAGCTCTCCCCATTAGCTCTCCCCATTAGCTCTCTTCCATTAGCTCTCTCCCATTAACTCTCTCCCATTAGCTCTCCCCATTAACTCTCTCCCATTAACTATCCCCATTAACTCTCCCCATTAGCTCTCTTCCATTAGCTCTCTCCCATTAACTATCTCCCATTAGCTCTCCCCATTAACTCTCTCCCATTAACTCTCTCCATTAACTCTCCCCATTAACTCTCCCCATTAGCTCTCTCCCATTAACTCTCTCCCATTAGCTCTCCCCATTAGCTCTCCCATTAACTCTCCCCATTAGCTTTCTTCCCATTAACTCTCTCCCGTTAGCTCTCCCCATTAGCTCTCCCCCATTAGAGCTCTCCCCGTTAGCTCTCTCCCCGCTAGTGCTCGCCTCGAGGCTCTAATAACTCGGAGAGCTTTGGTTCATGCGATGCACACATGTGTTTACACTCCGGCCTTCCACCCGTCACTCTGCTATGATGGGTTGTCTTCTCACTGCTGAATCTGAGGTTCGCCGCACTGGAACAGGTGGAGGAATCGGCTCGGGTCGATATGTTGAAGAATCATAGTTCCACGTATCCCGAAGCGGCCGGTCACCCCAGGGGGCCGATACCTTCCAGAGATGCTGAGCCATCACCGCCGATATCCGAGCTCTGAATCTGCACGTCAGCCGCACCCGTTAATTAAACTGGAATTCTCCAGAGCAGCCACCATTTTATTTGGTTTTATAATGTAAGAATATACTTGGGCATATTCCGGCTTGGGGGGCGATGAAGGGTTTCCATTTGACCGCCGTGATCCCTGTCCAGCGCCTGCGTTGCGGAAAGAAATATATACAGAGCCCCCGAGACGTTTTTATCGCTAATTCTTTTGAACGTTATGAATTGCTGTGCAGTCGTGCCTGCCGGTGCTGCCTGGCGATTTAACCGGATCGTTTTAGTGGCGGCTTCACGCGAGTTACATTTTAACCCTTGCCCATTCCGATGACGTAGGTGTGTACGTCCTACATTTTTCTGTTGACTCCATTCTGATGACGTACACGTACGTGATCGTAACGGAATAGGAAGAAAAATTATAAAATTACTTTATCGGTACCGAGGCTCCCACAAGGCCATGCGGGTGGACGTGAGGCACGGTTTGGCGCCAGCTATCGTAGAGTGGCGGCGGTCGCATCGCTACGGTTTTCAGCGGTGAGTAACAACGTCTTTAAAAAAGGGCGCTGCTGCTGCTACGTTTCTCGAAGTAAAATGACCGCTGAGCCGCTCACGCTTTCCGAGATTCGGTGGTGAACGGGACCCACCCACCCGGAAACTCGGCGTCTCCACGTCCCTGACGGTTCGCGCCGTTTGGTTTGCGCGCGGCGGGGGATCTGGCCGTCGTGCGTTCAAGTCGACGCGGGGAGGAGATCTCCCCGACGCAGACTCGCCCGCGGCACACCGCGCCGGCCATCGCCCGACAGCAGATGCGGTCGCGAGGCTTTTTTGTTTGTTTGTTTTTACAGAAACGACAGGAATGTGCCGATCTGCACGAGCTCGGTTATTTCAACGGCACTCGAGTGGCATTAACGACGACGTCAATTCACTGGGGTTATGATCCCGGCGGCGGAAAGAAATTCGTAATCACATTTAACGCACAGCGGCTGCGGCGTGTTTGCTCAGGCAGTTTTTTTGCGATTCACAATTCATGCCTTGGGCGAGGCCGCGGAATGATTGGACCAAACATTGCTTTGAGAAATTGCTCTCGGGCAAGGTGATTTGACACGATGAACGCTTGTTGCACGCGAGCGTTTCTGTCGTTTGGATGTGTGGGTTAGCTGAGGAGGGTCTTGAGGACACATACGGCCGGATCATCACCGTCGCCTGACCCACCCGAAAGTTTAACTGCGAATCGTGATAGCGACACGTTTAGATTGCGCCTGAAGAGCACAGTCTCGCTCGAGTGCAGCTTCACTTGAGCCGCCACCGTCTTTCTGTCCGGCAGTGGAACTTATGAACTTGTTCCCCCGGTGCGATTGTCGTCACGACGGTGCCCTCTGTTCTTGTTACACGGCCGCGTTTTGTACAAAACTCTTCGATTAGACCCCCCCCCCCGCCCCCGAGTCTGCGCCGGGGAGCACCACGGCCCGGCCACGGCCACGGCCACGGCGGGAGAGGTTGGAGAGAGATGCCGCTGCTGCTCGTGCCAAATGTGGGCCCCGTTTTTATTTTGGCCGACCCGTAGTTTGTCTGATTTCGGTCTGGAGACTCACTTTTCCCCGAGTCTCAAGACTCACTCTTCACGGTTGGGGGGGCCCTGCTTCCGGCCGATTAGCCAATGTTCCTGAAGGACGGAGAGACCAGCGATCCTACATCACTCTGTCGTGCCTCCTACAGTCAGTGTGTCTCAAGCACACGGGGACATCGGCGATAGTGGTGGTGGTGGTAGTGGTGTCAGAGGTGTTCGCTTGCACCACTTGCCCCAGCAGTCTGTTCAGGTGATACAGGGGGTCTTTGACTTTGGTGTCAGCGTGAGCCACCAACCCTGCCCTCCGAGCGTCTGGAGGGCAGGTTTGGTGGGTCACGCCGTGATGCTTTGGCCAACACCATGGCAACTCGTACACGCGTGCGGGACGGGCCTGCTGTGGGGTTAACGCGGGTTTGTACCGGCAGCAGCGTCCGACTACCCAGGATCATGGAGGAGGAGGGGGGGGATGGCCCACGTGTGGAACAAAGCACAGGTGGAGGAGGCCCTGTCGCGATGCTCGTGTACAGCTGGGGGTTGTGGACGAGGGTGTCGCCTGCTCTGTGCCATTGCTGTTTTGTAACTGCGCCTGTTCACCCAGGAGAGCCCTCGTCGAGTTGCAGGGATCTCTCAGGAGGTGGTCCCCGCTCAGGTTTTGTTTTTAATCGTCTGGTGGGGGGGGGGGGCGACGCTCACCGAGCGTTTCCCCAAATCGGCGATCTGCGAGCAAAGAATGTTTTTTTTTTTTTACAAGTTTGGAGCACAATGGCGGCGGCAGCGGCGTTGGCACGTAGCGGCTCTGGGGAGGCAGCAGACTGTGCATATCCCCGGCAAGTCAGCCCCGGCTAACACCGCCGGTTGTATTATCCGGGGCGGTCTGCTGGACTCTCAAACTGCAAACCTCTGCAATGAGAAGCAAAGTCATTGCCTCCCCGTGGTTTTAAAAGCCGCCGGTTCATCTGGTGGCGTCTTGTTCGTGGGAGCCGTGCGCCTCTTGGACTATGAAGCCCCGGCGTGTTGAGTAAGAATATTGACTAATTGTATGCGTGCTGAACTTATATTTTAAGTACGGTTACTTCCGCAGCCCGGATGATGATCAGCCCACGGGTAATGGAGGTTTTCGCTGTCGTTAACAAACCAATGGCCATTTACAAATCGATGTGACGGACCAGAACTGACCTCGTGGGAAGCGTCTACGCATTTATATTTGCACCTTAAACAAACAAAAAATGCCGAGAGAAAACAAAAAAAATCATTGATGAATCCCCAACGCTGCCTGCGCATCTACGTCGGTCGTGCGTGAAGCTCCCCCCCTCTGTCGGACTGTGCCGGAGAGAGAGAGACAGCGCGCACAAAGTTCTCTCTGTCAGACTTGCGGAGTTCAATTCCACAGCTCGACAACCTCCCTCCTCCTCCCTCTCTCCCCACGGGGGGAGCAGGTTAGTCCAGGTGAACGGGCCGAATGCGTGAGCTGTAAATCCCGCTGATGTGGGTCGGCTTAACGAACTGGATGCGAGCGGAGAGGGGCGGGTGCGCGCTGTTGATTGATCTATCGGTGACGCTTCGACAGAACGAAGAACCGGCCCGCTGCATGACCCCTCGGCGCGATTCAAAAGCAGCAGGCGCGCCCGTCGTGTTGCGTCGGCCAGAGGTCCTCGGGCGCTGCGTTGGCGCTGCGTGCGTATTAATGCAACGCGCGTACGTTAAATGCCGTATGCGGTTGGCAACGCATTGAATGTGCGGTGAAAGCTGCTCTCGCGGAGTGCGATAATGTACGATACAAACCACTTTTGTTGTTACAACGGGAAAATTATATATATATTTTATGCAGGATATTTTCGATTTTAAATCTGCTATTCCCCTCCGCGCTCTTAATATGAATATATTCCCGATTTATTAAAGAACCACCATCACTATGCCGACGATTGCTCTGGTGTGTGTGTGTTTTTCCCCATCCGCGTCGAGTACAATTTTATTAGCAGTAGTAGTATTAATAATACTAATGCCATTTGTTTAAGCAGTGAAGCTCCATTGAGTCTCAAGGCATTCAGTGGGAAGGCGGGTGGGGGTAGACCCCAATGCCATTCGTGAGCGCTCGGCCCGTGGGAGGAAACTCGCTTTGCGTTCACCGCTCGTCGCAGAGGTTCGCGGTTCAAACCCAGCAGCCGCCCTAATTCACAGCGACACTGCAGGGTCGCGTGCCGACCATGAACGTGCAACGACTCCCGCTTCAAGGCGAGCTCTCAACATCCCGTGGACCAGATCTCAAAAACTGATTTTAAAAACAAATCTCCGCGAAACGGCTCGAAGGGGATCGTACGGCGCGATCGAGGCCCGCTCCTCCCCCCGGCTGCCAACAACAACTTGGCAGAGCCCTCTCGCGAGACGACTCGCGAGTCGGAAGAACGACAAATGAAAACAACACGCACACATGCACACCAATAGTAGTGCCCGCCATTCGCCACTCAGTGACGGTGACGCCACCACAGCGCCTGTGCCAGGCCAGGTGCGCTTTTGGGCCACGTGAAGTGCCGAAAGCTCGCTGTGAGGAGGTCACGGGATTAGACCGAGGTGCTGATATGACTGGCAGATTACTCAACTGTGTCAACTTACTGTATTTTAGACCCCCGGTGCTGAGCTCGTTGTTGTGAGCGTCACTCTGCCCTCCTTTGTTGTCGGGACAGACCAAGGTGCCATGGGTTGGCTAACCGAGATGACCGGTAGATGCACCACCTATGCCTCCTACTATCAAAGTCCCCCCGTATAGCCTTAACAGACTGTAGGGGCAAGTGCTGTTAGCGAGCACCTACCTCTCATACACACACAGTCACACTCATACACAGTCACACCCATATACAACAACCGCCATTCGCCACTAAGTGACGGTGACGTCACCACAGCACTTGTGCCAGGCTATGTGCACGTTAACACCACGTGAAGTGTCGAACGCCCGCTAGTAGGAGGTCAAGGGGCAGACCCAGGTGATATAGGTCAACTGACTGAGATGAGTGGCCGATGCCCCACCTGTGCCCCCCCCCCCCTACTGTGTCAACTTGCTGTGTTTTAGTCGCCTGGTGCTCCGCTCATTGTTGTGAGCGTCGCTCTGCCCTTCGTTGTTGTTGGAAGGCGACTGCCTCCAACTGCCCAGCAGCGTCCTTTACGAGCCTTCTCCACAGAGGCCGATCTTGACACCACATGCGCACACACACAAAGACAAAGATCCCCCGTATAGCCTGAACAGACTGTTGGGGCACATGCTACTGGCGAACACCTTTGATGGCTGGTACGGCACACGATGGGGTGGATTGACAGCACCACGTCCGCCCAGGCCGCATTTGACTCCCCAGGTGCTCATTTAAGGCTCAGTCGATCGAGGGCAGCCTCGGGACAGGTTCAGATAATCGTCACTGGTGCAGACCGTAAACGGGAATCGAACTCGGGACGCCGGGTTCGTAGCGCAGTGTGGAGCTGAGGTTGAGACCCACGGGGGGGGGGGGGGGGGGGCTGAGTTGAGATCCATGGGGCGGGGGGGGGCTGAGGTTGAGACCCACGGGGGGGGCTGAGTTGAGATCCATGGGGCGGGGGGGGGCTGAGTTGAGATCCATGGGGCGGGGGGGGGCTGAGGCTGAGACCCACGGGCAGGAGGCGGTGAGGTGAGGATTGGGAGGCGTTCAATGCGTCCCCTGCCCGGACCGGACCAGCCGGTTTGCGTTGAGCTTCCTCGTTCCACCGCGACATTGAGCAACCGGCGGAGGGCTGCCAGTCGCGTTCCCCCGTCGGCAGCGAGAACGAGGAAATGGTCGCCTTGGGGGGGGGGGGGGGGTCTCGACGAGATTTGTATTTTTATGGAAGGCGGCTTGTAAAATACCACGACCGTGACTTTGCTCGTAAATGAGACAAAGTGAATTCGTCCTCCAATGAACATTTTAGGGGTGCCTCCTCCCCGAGCCGGCGGTGGAAGTTCCACGTTACTGTGGCGGGCGGCGAGTCCGTCCATCGGGCAACCACCGTCAATGTCCTCGACCACGCGGCGCTCGTGTTCGTGAAGCCCCGACGGGGAGGCGTGATGGGAGCCACACTTGGGATGTGCAGCGCTGGGATGTTTCACGGACACCGCTACTGATATATATACATTCCCACGTGTGGTGGTGATGACATCAGCCACTTGAGCGATCGCGTGTGGCCAGGTCGACTCTGGAGGCAATAACTGAGTGGGGTTCACGGAGTTAATGCAATGTCAGAGCGCTTCGGAGTCCTGGGATCGAGTGCAGATTTCGGCCTTTGTCAAACCGCTTCTCGGGTGAATGACGGCGCTGATTTCAAGTCAGAGACCAATGAACCGCAAACAAAGAGAAGCGTAGGTCAATGTTGCACTTAACTTGCCTTTGGGGGTGATCCGTGCGCGCGACCACCACCACTACCACCGTCGCCTCGTGTAGGCTTCAGAAGTAGTTCTGTCACATCATCTTCCGCGGCCGCTCTCTCTGTGTGCCCTGGCTTACCGCAAGCAGAGTGCGGCGGTGAGTGTCGCCATCTCGCCGGGGGGGGGGGGGGGGGCGGGAAGAGGTGGTGGGTTGACTGTGGCCCGTGTGGTGATGAGGAGGAGGAGGTGGTGAGTTGACTGTGGCCCGTGTGGTGATGAGGAGGAGGAGGTGGTGGGTTGACTGTGGCCCGTGTGGTGATGAGGAGGAGGAGGTGGTGGGTTGACTGTGGCCCGTGTGGTGGTGAGGAGGAGGAGGTGGTGGGTGGGTTGACTGTGGCCCGTGTGGTGGTGAGGAGGAGGAGGAGGTGGTGGGTTGACTGTGGCCCGTGTGGTGGTGAGGAGGAGGAGGTGGTGGGTTGACTGTGGCCCGTGTGGTGGTGAGGAGGAGGAGGTGGTGGGTGGGTTGACTGTGGCCCGTGTGGTGATGAGGAGGTGGAGGTGGTGGGTTGACTCTGGCCCGTGTGGTGATGAGGAGGAGGAGGTGGAGGTGGGTGGGTTGACTGTGGCCCGTGTGGTGATGAGGAGGAGGAGGTGGAGGTGGGTGGGTTGACTGTGGCCCGTGTGGTGATGAGGAGGAGGAGGTGGTGGGTTGACTCTGGCCCGTGTGGTGATGAGGAGGAGGTGGTGGGTTGACTGTGGCCCGTGTGGTGGTGAGGAGGAGGAGGTGGTGGGTGGGTTGACTCTGGCCCGTGTGGTGGTGAGGAGGAGGAGGTGGAGGTGGTGAGTTGACTCTGGCTCGTGTTGTCGCGTTTCATTCTCGTCACCTCTTAATTCCCCATTGCCGGGGCTGCTGCTGGGCAGCTGGCGGGGGGCTGGGGTAGAGGAGGAGGGTGAGGAGGAGGAGGGAGGCGGACATCTCCCGTGGAGATTGGAGACAAATGGAATGACCTCGCCCCCTGATTGCGCGTGCGGCTCGGCGCGTCGCTCGCCGTCTGCACGGAACGGGGCAGCGCTGCAGGGAGACGGCCGGGATGGCGGCACCACACGGCCACGTTCACAAACTCATACACGGAGCGTGCACCTGCCAGTATCTGCGTGTGTCTGCGTGTATCTACGTGTATCTGCGAGTGTCTGCGAGTATCTGCGAGTATCTGCGTGTGTCTGCGAGTATCTGCGTGTGTCTGTGTGTATCTGCGAGTATCTGCGTGTGTCTGTGTGTATCTGCGTGTTTAGCAGGTGAGCGCGCCGCGCTTCGAAACCCGACTTCGATTCCCGCTACACGGCCAACATCGGTGACGATTATCTGAACCGGTCCTGGTTGGCCTTCCCTAGGTCTACTCAGCCTCAAATGAGTACCTGGTGCGGTGTATAAACATCGCCACTATGGAGACAAAGGCGGCCAATTGTGATGATGACCAATTCACCCCCCCCGTGTGCCATGCCGACCTTCATAGGTATTCGCTTAGAGCACTTGCCCTAAGAGTGTGTTAAGATATTATATTGTGGGGGTCTTTTCCCTGTGTGCGTGTCCCTCTCTCAGTCAACCCATAACGCCTTAGCCGTGTCCCGTGACCTATCAGGGAGTCTTAGACACTTCACGCGGCCTCAAAAGTGCACCTACCCTGGCACAAGCGCTGTGGTGATGTCACCGCCACTCAGTGGCGAATGTTGACTTGTGTATTACGTGTGCACGTGTGTGTATGTGTATTTGTGTATATAAGTGGGGAGCGGTGGCGCAGTGATTAGCGCGCTGCCGCGACGAACCCGACGATCCCAGTTCGATTCCCGCTCACGACAAATAACGGTGGCGGATATATTTAAACCAGTCCTGGTTGGTCTCCCCAAGGTCGACTCAGCCTCAAATGAGTACCTGGTGCAGTGTGTAAAAATAATGTCCATCGGGGAGACAAAGGCGGCCGGACATCGTTGCTGGCCACGCACTGCCTCGTGTTCCGTGCCGGTTAACAGCACTTGCCCCAACAGTCTGTTGAGGCTATACGGGGACCGGGGGGGGGGGGGTTATGGTGTCTTTGTCTTTGTTTATGTGTACACGTGTTGGTGCGCACGTGGAGACCTCGTTTGCATTTAGATGGAAGCAGGCCCCGGTGCTGCTGCTGCTACGAGCTCTCTCTCATTTCCGCACCTATTTGTTTCCGAGCTCCCATCGCCTGCACCGCTCGCGATGCCAGGAGTGGCGGATACGGTGGCCTTTGGCCCCTCCGCATAAACACGGGCGAATTTCCACGTTCTATCCAATTGCCCCATACGCTGATGTCGCTTAGCTTAAACTTCCCAGTTTGACTCTCACCCAGCCACCCCAACTAACCCCAACCCACCCACCTCAAACCAACAACCACCCACCCCAACCAACCCACCCATTTACCCACCCCAACCAACCAACCCACACACCCACCCCAACTCACCCACCCAACCCACACACCCACCCACCCATTCCAACCTCAACCCACCCACCAACCCCAACCCACCCACCCCAACCCA